GGGGGCCTGGTTGGGGCCGGTTCTGAGCAAAGCGGTGTTGGTGTCGGGCCTTTTTTGGGGCCTGCTGTGCTGGGGGACAGCACCCAGGACCCCCGGACACCCCCTCTCTCTTTTCCAGCAGGCCGGGGACTCGCTGGGGTGGTGGCAGGCGCTGACCGAAGCAGCGATGGCATGGGTCGAGGTGCGCCATGGACAGAGTGAGCGTCTTCCTGTTAGTGAACCCGTCTGTCGGTCTCTCAGTTGGCATTCCCGAGTAACGCTGGTTTACGTTTCAGGTTGGTACTCGGCCACGTAGAGTCGAGGAAACAGCTGGCAGAGCTGCTTAGGATTGTGTTGAAAATGCTGGGAGAGAAAAAGCAGTTAATCGTGAAAAGGGACCTTTACGCTGACCCCACGTTTCCAGCCAGCGATACCTCTATATTTTCTGATTACTGTACCCCGCTTGCTCAGTTCAGAGGCGAGATTTCTTGGTTGAGACCTAAGGTGAGTTTTAAGAGCTAACCACCCATGATTTTAGCAGAGCTGCACTTTAAGGTAATAAATGGTACTTAGCCCTGAATGACTGCTGCTCGGTGTTTTTATTACTTAGAAACAGAGAAGTGATAAACCCAATGTATGTCGGTGTTAATTATTTATATGTTAGGTTGTGAGTCTGGGTGCTTGTTTGTAAGTTTGCCTTAAATCCTGATGTAGAACTTTTGAATTTGTTGGGACTATTAGAAATTCTGATATTTTATCGTAAACATACTTCATCACGCAAATAATATGCATACCAAGTTGACAAATACTACGTTCCCATTTTTTTTCAACATACTGCATAACTCTTGAAAACGAATAACGGGATTTCAGAGTTTTTCAGAAGGATGTTGCTTTTTTTGTTTGGTGATTGTTGATTTTTTTTTTTTTTTTTGGTACCAAAAAAGAAAACTTTTCTTAAGGCTCTAACTTGTCACGTGACTCATTGCTTTTAAACTTAGAGCTGGGTTTCAGAGCAAGCCACATGAGAGAGAAAAAGCTTAGCATGCCTTTCTAAAGTGAAGTAGTTACAATAATGCCTTTGTGTGGAGGGGGGGAAAAAAAGGATGAAAAAATACAGTGGAGAAAAACGTTGCCTCAGAGAAGCTGGGAGGGGGGGGAAAAAAAGGATGAAAAAACACAGTGGAGAAAAACATGGCCTCAGAGAAGCTGCTGTGAAGAAAATGAAGTCTGTCCCAACCAAAACTGACACAAATAGCTACAAGACAGTCATTTGTTACTGCCAGCTTAGGCTGTGTTTGAAAAGGATTTGTGCTAGAGGTAAAAATTCCCTTATTTTTTGAGAGATCTCTGGAGCCTTCCCATTCCCTGAAACACAGACTTCCTAAGAATGTCATGCAGGATTTGGTTTTAACTCCCCTTCTTTTAATTTTAGGACATTTGTTCTACTCCTCGGTTATTTTCAAACAATCTGCAGGATGTGCAAGTGAAACAAGGGATTTTGGGAGACTGTTGGTTCCTATGTGCCTGTGTAGCTTTGCAGAAGAATAAATACCTACTGAATAAGGTATAGAGAAGTTTCTTTTTTCATGTTTCAGAAGTTCACTTCACCTAATTTACATTTTGTTGTGGTTTAACCCCAGCCAGCAACTAAGCACCACACAGCTGCTTGCTCACTCGTGCCACAGAGGGTTGGGGGAGAGAATCAGAAGAGCAAAAGTGAGAAATATTATGGGTTGAGATAAAGACGGCGGAATAGGTAGAGCAAAAGCCACGTGCGCAAGCACAGCAAAAAGAGGAATGCGCTCACCACTTCCCATGGGCAGGCAGGTATTCAGCCATCCCCGGGAAAGCAGGGCTCCATCATGCATAACGGTTACTTGGGAAGACAAACGCCATCACTCTGAATGTCCCCCCCTTCCTCCTTCTTCCCCCAGCTCTATATGCTGAGCATGATGTCATATGGTGTGGAATGTCCCTCTGGTCACTTGGGGCCTGTTGTCCTGGCTGATCCCCCCCCCAGCCTCTTGTGCACCCCCAGCCCACTCGCTGGTGGGGTGATGTGAGGAGCAGGAAAGGCCTTGACCCTGTGTCAGCACTGCTCAGCAGTCACACAGACATCCCTGTGTTATCAATGCTGTTTCCAGCCCAAATCCAAACCACAGCCCCACACAGCTACCGTGAAGAAAACTAACTCTCCCCCAGCCAACACCAGCTCACATTTGCATATTGTTCTTGAATCCCAAGCCTCCATGTGAATATCAGTTTTGTTCTGCTTAGTTTCGCTGGTTTTGTTGTGGTATTTTTTTCTGTGCTTATTAAAAATGGTTGATATTCAGCATATTTTAAACTGGCTCTATCTACCAAAAAAACCCAAATTCCGTTATTTGTCTTGATTTTGGCTTTTGCCATCTAGGTAATCCCTCCGGGTCAGCCCATCTGGACGGATGAGTCGTATCAAGGCTGTTTCACTTGTCGAGTCTGGCAGTTTGGGCACTGGGTGGAAGTGACCATCGACGACCGTTTGCCTTGCCTTGGTGGGAAACTCTGCTTTTCCCAGTGTCAGACAGAGGATTTGTTTTGGCTTCCCCTATTGGAAAAAGCTTATGCCAAGTACGTGAACACTGTGATTGTGGGAAATAAAGGGAAGTGCAATACTTGTGTGCCTTCTGCTTGCTTCTTTACCTGACTGCTTTGGGCATAGATCTGTGAATCGTTCAGTATCAGGTGCAACGTCTGCTTTCCCGGCTGCTCCTGGGTTGTGCAGGAGTCACTCGCTGAACTGCAGGTCGGTAAGGTGTGTTTCTAGTTGTGTATGAGGTCAGATAGTCTTAGGGACAGACTTAGGATGAAAAGTAAGAGCTGTGGTGAATTATGAGGATTCAAATGACATTCATTAAGTCACTGTCCACTGGTCATCTTGTTTATTAAAGGGAAGTATTTTACTAGGACAGCTGCAGGCTCAATAAAAAGCAGAAAACATGCGAATACATTCATGGAAAGCAACAACATTACTAGTTTATGCTAGTTGGGGCTCTTTTTGTATGAGTTTCACTGCTCTTTTGCTTAATTTCATAGTTTAATATATTGAGAAGAAACAACCATATTGCTAACGTGTTGGAAAATGCAGCTATTCTGTGTTTTGTGACACATCCGTCAGAGTGCTGTCTGGATGGACAAAACAATTTGGAGACAGGGTGCTGATAAAGTAGACATCAAGCATCTGGAAGAGCTTGTGGGAAGGACGGTGTGGTTGCCAGCAGAGGGCAGAAAAAGACTTCAGTGTGAAGTGGTTTGTTCAGTTCTGGGTACATTGGTTGGAACTAGATGATCTCTCAGGTCCCTTCCAACCTAAACCGTTCTATGATACACTGAGCAGGGGTGGTGAAGCAGCAATGGTGTGTTAAAGCTTCTCTGTAGGTTTGAAAGGTAGTATTGGTTTTCTGGAGAGATCTTCTCGTTCTATCCTGACTTATCATTCTGTTATGATCTTGATTTCTTTTGCATCCGCAGCGTCAGGTAGGGCAGTCTCTTGGTTCACTTAAATTGTGGAAAGAAGTGCTGCTCTGGTTGTTCATGGAGAGCGAGCAAAGAATAATCGAAGAAGAGGAAGAATTTATCTATAACAATAAATAACAATGTCATTTATTTATACAGAATGCAGGTGGTGTATGACAAAAGATGACACAGTGCATGGGTAACGAGGTACAAATGAGCAGTACTAGGCTGGAGCGGTTTCTGCGTAGGATGGAATGAATAAACTCCCCGTCAAGCAGGGGAATGTCTAATGGCCTGCATACTCTTTAGAGGTTTTATTCTGTATAGCTAAGAGTTGTGTGCTTTCTCTTGCCTGCTTGGGGATGTGAGAGAGGGACAGAGTCATGATTGTGACATAGGGTGGGGCTGAAAGTACGTAAGACCCATGTTTCTTTAGTTCTGCTCTTCATAGAAACTTTTCCTGTCTGTTTATTTTTTTATAGAGTGCATGGATCTTACGAGCAGCTGTGGGCAGGGCAGGTGGCAGATGCTTTGGTTGATCTGACTGGAGGAATCGCTGAAAGATGGACCCTGAAGGACCCTGGAAGGAACACGGGGAAAGAGAAGACTGGCATGGTTTTGGAGAAAGCAGTGTTTAGAAGATTAATGAATCTGAAGGAACAGTGTGTGATAAGCTGCTCAGTCCTCAATTCCAGACAAGGTGATAGTGCAGTACTAGATGTTTTTGAAGTGAATCTCCAACAGGGTTCAGAGCACAAGGCAGCCAGCAAGTGCCTGGTGCTGATTCTGGTACCAGAAACCCCAGCTTAAAAACCCCAGTGAATTTCAGCACTGAGAATTTGTGGATGTTTGAGATCAAATAGTGAGTTAATACGCTTTAAAATTTTCGTGTATTTAATTTCTGTCTAGTCACAACTAAAATGAGCTGTTTGGGTTTTTAATGCTGTTTTTGTACTGGTTGAAAGATAATTTCCTTTTATCTCAAAATTGCTGTCTTTCACAGGATCGTTTACTGTTGTTCATTGTAAAATATGGAGCAGGTTCTTTTGTTTACTTCCAAATGCCTTTTTTTTAAATCCTGTTCAGGTGGAAGCGAGCTGGGGGAATTTCATGCCTTCATTGTGATAGATGTGTTGAATCTGACTGAAGTGTCGGGCAAAGACATCTTCCTGCTGCGGATACGAAACCCTTGGGGGAGGCGGTGCTGGAGAGGCCCCTGGTGTGAGGGGTGAGTAGGTTTATTTTCAGAGAGAAAAGAATCTGTGAAAGTTCTGAAGCACAGTCTGTGTCTTGCGTGGGCAAATACCGCTGACAGACGTTGGAGGAGGGGAGAGACTTCGGCTTGTGCAATCCTTGGGAGAGCTCGGTGGTTTGTGGAGCTCGTTGGTTCTAAGGACAGTCATTTTGATCTGTTAGTTCTGGTAATATACATTTTTTTAATAAGTCTGGTTTTGTTTATCAGAGCATCCTGTCTTTTTGTAAAGATAAACTTAAGTTTGTTCATCTTCTGTCTGATTTTTGTGGCGCTGTTTCGTTTGCAATTGATCCAAGTGTCTTTGCTCATGTTTGTGGCAGACAAGTAGTTGCTCAGCTTTACTTGGCTCTTTGTTTGATCTTGTCTCAATTGCAGAAGACAAGGAAAGGAGTGTGTATAAAAATGCAGCACAAGGAAGGATGCTTTTGCTCTTTGCTTGTGTGCTCTCATTTCTGTGGGTTAGTGTGGTAGAAGCTGGAATTGAGTAGATATAAAGCAGAGATGAGTTTTGAAGGAAATGGAGAAACGTGTTTAGCAGTTCATATGGCAAAGTAACAAGAGTGAAAGGGCAGACCCTTGTAGCTTGTTTGGGAAAGTGTTAGCATATTTAGGCTGTGCAAAAGAACATACAGTTCTTGACACAGGGACAAGCTTTCAGCATTAAAATATGGTTAACAGCATGAGCATGTTAATGAACATTTTAGAGAAATGTTTTTCCCAGAGTTAAGCAGATGACTTAAAAACGTTAATTGATACTTCGGTTGGTTTTAGCAGAGTTTTGGTCTCTTGTAGTTTCATTGCCAAAGTTGCCATGTTAGTTGCAAGAGGATAGCGTTTCGTTGGGCGGCCTTAGGGTCCTGTTTCATTCAAGTGCTGAACTGTTCTTTGTGTTAGTGAAACAATAAAAACATGTTGAAATTTCTCTATTTTAATGGCCCTGAATAACGAGGTGTTTAAATTCTTGGTTTATCATGACTTAGCTGGGAGATTCATGGAGAAAAACACCTGCTTCCTGCAGATAGTGGGTTTCACTGTACAGCATTAAAAAAATCTTTCAGACAGTCACTGTGCAGCTTGTTTTACTTTTCATTGCTATTTTTAAGAACTGTTAATCTTTATTTTGCTCTCACACGTTGGGCTGTAGTGTCTGTTATAAGCAGAGCAGCTATTCCACCTGGAAGTGTGCTGCTGTCTCCTATCTGGTGTTAGGCTGTTTCTAAGTTGTCTTTGATACATAGCGATTCCTGCTTTCTGTTTCTCTCGCTGACTAGCAACGTGTATGCAGAAATATTCAATGCAAGGATTTGACAGTAAAATGAAGAAACAACTTCTTATTGTCCTGCTCTGTTGGATGTTTGTTTGAACATTCTTATAGCACTTTATTGGCTGAGGAACTAAGTGTTAACTTTTGTCTTATGTGCAGTGGTGAAGGATGGAGCCAGCTAGATCCAGGAGTCGCCTCAGAACTGCTCTCACAGATCCAAGAGGGAGAATTCTGGGTTGATGAAGAGGAATTTTTCAGGGAATTTGATGAGATTACCATGGGCTTTCCAGTCACTGAGGAAGGACAACTTCAGAGCCTCTATACAGGTGTGATATGAGAAATTCCAGTACCTGAAGGGGCTACAAGAAAGCCAGGGAGGAGCTTTTTAAAAGGGCATGTAGTGAACAGGACAAGGGGTGAGGGGTTTAAAATGAAAGCAGGGAGATTTAGTGTAGGTATCAGGAAAAAAATTCTTCACAGAGTGGGTGGGGAGGCACTGGGACAGGTTGCCCAGAGAAGCTGTGGATGCCCCATCCCTGGAAGTGTTCAAGGCCAGGCTGGATGTGGCTTTGAGCAACCTGGTCTAGTGGAAGGTGTCCCTGCCCATGGCAGGGGGGTTGGAACTGGATGGTCTTTAAGGTCCCTTCCAACCCAAACCATTCTATGATAAAACATCTTTCTCATACAAATAACATTATGTCAGTGGAAAAGGCTGATTTGAATGGCAAATGGATGCAACTGGACCATAATTTCTCTTTCTCAGTCTTTCCTTCTCCTTTACATCCTAGAAGACTCTTGTTCTGTGCAGCCTTTTTTTTTTTTTAATGGGAGATAACCTTCTTATTTTTAGAAACAGTTTCTTGTTGTAAAAATCATGTCATCAGTCTGTGAATGCCAGTTGTGGCACTCGTTCCGCCTCTCAGTGTTGGCCGTGAGTCGCTGCTTGGAGAAAGCGTCAGGGCTGCGAGAGTGTCTTTTCTTGGGCTGGGGGTTCCCTGCCGTGTAGCTGTATAAACTTAAGTAACTTCTGGTGTCTGACATCCGCACCATGTTTTTCTTACTTTCTTAGAGAAAGTGCTGCATCACTCCCAGAATCTTTGTGGGTCCTGGGTGAGAGGCCAGTCTGCAGGCGGCTGCCGGAACAACAGCAGCTTCCCTACCAACCCGAAGTTCTGGCTGAGGGTCTGTGAGAAGAGCGAGGTGTGCGTTGCTCTGCTGCAGAAACACAGGAAGTGCGGTGCTGACTGGGCCGGAAGAATTCAACATCTGACTCGCTTGGCGGAGGAGAACCTGTCTTTGACTGAAGGCGTACAGGGGAAGAGTTACCAGGCTGTGGGACTTCATGTCTGGAAGGTAATATGGGAGTGATGTTTTTCTTTTGGCAAATAGGAGTTTTAAAGCACTGCTGAAACACTGGAGTAAAATCATTCATTTCCTTACTGCAGTGACGTGATTCAACGGGTCACACGTTTTACATCTTGGATTTCATAGAATCATAGAA